CTGCTTTAAAATTGGAAGACTGCATGCTGGTTCCTCTCGTGCTGGAACAAGCTGACATCGCTGCTGGGTAGAAGGGTCATGCCAGGCCAGACTGCAAGATTTTAAGCCCCTAAGTGGTTTCCTCACATATTCCTGTTCCACATACAGAAGCCCATGACCTGGCAATTAACTTCTTTTTTTCCCATGCTGGCAGTGGAACAGTATCCTTCACTGCAGTGGAGGGCAGCAGGCTGGGCTTGGTGTGCAGGACAAAGTATACATGAAATTATGCAAAAAGGTTTGCATGAGAGCCAGTGTGGTGTAGTGGTTAAGAGCATGGGACTGGGACTCAGGCGATCTGGGTTCTAGTCCCCGCTCAGCCATGGAGCCAACTGGGGGACTTTGGGCCAGTCACAGACTCTCAGCCCAACCTACCTCACAAGGCTGTTGTTGTGGGGATAAGATGGAGGAGGAGAATGATGTAAGCTGCCTTGAGCCCTTTGTGGGAAAAAGGCAGGATATAAATCAATCAATCAATAAATAAATAAATAAAATTTCCCACAGACTATCTTCTGCTGCCTGAGGCAGCAGCACCATTATGCCTAAGAGCCATAATCTTTGGCTCTATGGACTTTGGACTATGCTTTGGACTATGCTTTGGACTATGTTTCTGGTCCCTCTCAGTGACCGTGGTATTTCTCATAGTGTTGCTTTTGTGATAAAATCCTCTCCCTTTGTTATACCTCATTATGAGAAAGAGGCATGCCCAGTCTGCATAGGGAGCAAACAGCAGTTTGAGTGGAAGGGTAATTTTCACCAGAGAAGCAGTGCTCAGGGAAAAAGTAAGAAACCCATCCTTCCCCAGTCCTGATGCAATGGGTCCCCAGCAGTAAATTGCTTACATTTACAGAGATCTCTGATATATCTTATAGTTAGTCCTTATTGCTATGCTAGGCCTGTGGGCTACATCACTTCATATTATGGGAGATAAGGGAATTGAAAGCTCCCCCACATAGACTAGAATGTGGGCACTTTATTTATTTGATTTATACACCACTTTTTTCGTATAACAAACTCAGAGTGGCTTATATCATTCTCCTTTTCCTGTTCTCAACTTTATTCCCACAACAACAACCCTGTGAGGTAGGTCAGGCAGAGCGAATGTGGTTGGCTCAAAGTTACCCAGTTGGCTCCATGGCTGAGTTGGGACCATAACCCAGATTGTCTAAGTCCCAGTTCTGCGCTCTTATTTTTCCTAATCTTTCTAAAAATATGTATGTTCAAAACAAGTACAAATTCACAAAATGTTACAAATCTGAAATATGGCAAGGATAGGTTGGGGTTAAAGTGTGAGTCATAAGCCAGGGGCATCTTCCTTCTAATCTCACTTATCTCTGAACTTTCAAAATAGTTTTAGGCAAGACACTCTTAATCATGGTCCTCTATTTGTAATATGAGGATAATACTGACCTGCGCCAGAAGGCTGGTATAAAATGTAATGAGATAAGAACAGTTGAAATGCATGATATACATGCCAAGTAGCAGGACTATCACATTGCAGGAGAAATATTCAGGTTTATTTGACTGCATGTTACTCCTTCTTATGGCATTACCATGCTATTTTATATGATAAAATGTTGCAATTTGCAATATAATTTTGCCACAATATCAAATTGGAAAGATTGATTTTAATGGAAGGAGGTCTGTGTTTGTGTATAGCTTGGCTTTAATGTATGATGAAACTTAATTTTTACATTATCATCATCATCTTCATCATCACCATCATCTAATTTCACATGGACAGCCTTAATACAGTTTTTAGATTGCTATAAATATTCTGCCTTCTGCTTTAATCAGTTCTTGTACTAAGGAATCATGGTCTTTGAATGTTAAATATCCATGCATATTCAACAGAAGTCAGCTCACAGTATATAGCTTCAGGCTTTACATGAGGAAAGGCAAGGGGGGCTGGGGGGGAGCAGGAATATAAGGCAAAGCAAAGAAAGAAAAATCCAAGCTGCAGAACTGCACTGAGTGTGTTGGGTATATAGATCACTCCAGTAATTTCTATCTGTCCAGCTGGAAATGGTTTTCCTGCCTGAATTTTAAACATATCACGAACTACCAAATGCACGGTTCTCTTGCACGTAAATGCAGCAAGAAGAGAAATAATTTCTCCTTCATGTTCCAGTCTTAGAAGTTACTCACCATGACTCTACTTACCCAGAAGATATAAGAAAATGAAGGGGAAAAGCAGAGCCTTCATTTCACCGCCTGTTACTGGGACTTTGTCTCCTCTTGATCTCTCATTGCACTTTGGACTACCCTGTATCATATGATACTTGGGAATTGGAAGGAGACTTTGGATGGCTCTAAAACCAGTGATAGAGTTTGTTCTTACTGCGCGAACTGAAACTGCAGATATCCAGTAGGAGGTCTCCTAATGCTGATAATCAAAAGGCATGACACAGCTTTCTTGGTAAGGAAAAACACTGATTAAGTGGTGGGGAAATGCAGGAGGGCTACAAATCATGTAGATACAAAAATAATTATTACAACAGTAAGTGGAAACAACAGAGAACAACAAAGGGGGTTGGGGGAGAGACCTCTTCCAGAATATCCAAGAAATCAATGGGAAAATCACACCTAGATTAGGAATACTGAAAGACAAACAGGAAAATGACTCTCTGACCAGGATAATACAAAGAGAAGGTGGAAATAATATATGGAAGAACTGTACAGAAAAAATGAAAGGACTCCTTCAAAGAGGAATCCTATCGAGGAAGAACTTGGAATATAAGAAAGTAAGGTAAAAGTATTTCTGAAAGCTCTTGGAAAGAATGAAGCACTCAGTGTAGATAAGATACCAATAGAATTATTCCAAGCTGCAGAGACTTGAATCATTCTGAATCCTAACAAAAAAAAATTAGGCGGAAAACAAACAACAAATATGGAAAACAAAACAATGGTTCACAGATGGAAACATTCGATGTACATTCCAATCCCCTAGAACTGAGATGCTAAGGAGTGTAGCAAGTATGGCACTAATTTCCCATGCAAGCAAATTGATGCTCAAGGTGTTGCAGCAAAGAAATTGACCATATACGGAGCAAGAAACACCAGACATTCAAGCTGGTTCTCAAAAATGAAGAAGCACTCAAGACCATATCACAAATATACATTGGCTACCAGAATGTGCCAAAGAATTTGAAAAGAAAGTCTGTGATTTATAGACTGCAGCAAAGCCTTTGACTGTGTGGATCATAGATGGTCCTGAAAGAAATGGGTGTGCCCCAGCACTTGATAGTCCTGCTGTGTTGACCTGAATTGTGGACAAGAAGTTATTCTTAGGATAGGAAACCATACTGTTTCTCCATATTTTGGAGGCAAAGCCACCAGGCAAAAGTATCTCTATATGTTTAATATGTACACAGAGCATATCATAAGGAAAATTTGCACTAGGATGGCAAGAAGGAGTGAAAATTGGTGGAAAATAATCATTCAAGATATGAAAGACAGTGTGGTATAGTTGTTAAGAGGATGGGTCTGGGACTTGGCAGCCTGGATTCAAATCCCCACTCAGCCATAGAGATCATGGGATGACTTTGGTCCAGGCACAGCGATGCATATATTCTACTCCCAGCCTACCTCACAGGGTTGATGTTATAAGATTAAGAGGATGAGAATTATGAAAGCTGACTTGAGTTCCTTGGAAGGAAAAAGGTGGGGTGGTGATGATGATGAGGAGGAGGAGGAACAGATGTTATCATCCTATTGGCAGAAAGCAGAAATGAAGTGAAATGACTCCAGATTAAAATGAGAATCTGAAGCTGAAAAGCAGGACTCTACCTGGGCATGAAGAAAACAAAAATTTTGACTACATAAGAATTACATAACTTTCATGACAGGAATGAAGAAATTAACTTGTTAAAGATTTGCCATTATCTTAGCTCAATCCTCAATTGAGGATGACTGCAGGCAAGAAATTAGAAAAAGACTGAGACTTGGAAGGGCAGCTATGAAGGAACTAGAAAAGATGATCAAGTTTGACCAGAGACCAAGGCCCTGATTAGGCGCTATGCATGGGTGTGAAAGCTGGACAGGAAGAAAGATGATGCATTCAAACCATAGTGCTGGAGGAGAGCTTTGTGAATATCTTGCACCAACAGAAAGACAAACAAGACAGTCCTAGATAAAATCAAGCCAAAATTTCCCTGGCAAAGATGAAAAAGTGAAGCTGCCATACTTTGGGCACATCATGAGAAGGAAAGGCTCACCGGAGAAGACAATCATGCAAGGGAAATTGGAAGGCAGAAGAAGGAGAGGAAGATCAAACATGAGATGGATCAGTTCCATAAGGAAGTTTAGAATAGCTCAGCAGGGCTATCAAGGAGAGGATATTTTGGAGGGCATTCATTCAAAAAGTTGCCTAGTTGGAGATGTCTTGATGGTAAACAACAACAACATCAACATATTTGACCCTCTGGCATAACCTACCAACAGCCCATTAGGCTTCTTCTTCATGAGGCTAAGGATATATCTATATATCTGAATGTCCATGTTTGGTCTAATGGGACATGCACATGGTGCCTGTCTGACTCTTACGAGATTCTCAGTGTGGTCCTCTGGGTCCTCTGGAGCCTTGAACCTAGCCCACAAAACCCCGCTTGTTTTCACCCAGTTGTTAGGATTGCAAGGATGGCAAATGTGAGGGTGCACTCATTTCAGGAGTGTTTTTAGTGTGTGCTGAAACCTCATATTGCATATGCATCTCTGGCATCATATGAAAGTGATTCATAAATTCAGACTCTTTGTCCCCAAGTCCAGTATGATCTACTCTAATTGGCAGTTTCTCTCCAGGGTCCCAGGCAAAAGTCATTCTCATCATCTGCAGCTGCCGTCTTTTTCAACTGGAGGTGCCAGGGATATTGCTGAGAAGCTTCTTCATGTAAAATATATGTGCCTCTACTGAGCTATGATTCCTTCCTGAGCTGCAGTTAATCTATTACTGTTCCCCTCACCTGTCTTCACAGCAGGCAGAAGCCATTCCAAGGTCATGATGGCTGTGCAGTCTGTCTCGAACCTGCAAAAGAAAAGCAGTGTTGCCTGTGCATTTGCAAGGAATCCCACTTCTGTGGCAAACCCTGACCCTACTACTGGCCTCATTGACAGATTAGTGCACAAGGTCTTCCTGATCAGGCTTACCTGGGTTTGTGCAGCTGGCACCATGTGTCTGTGTCTAGTGTGGGACTCTAGCCCCTGCTTGGCTACTGAGCCATCTGGGTGACTGGTCCAGTCACAGACACTCAGTCCAGCCTACCTCACAGGGTTCTTGTCGGGATAAGACTGGGAGCTGGAGGAGCAGAATGATGTGAACCACTTTGAGTTCTGTAAAAGAAAAATGGTGGAGTATAAATCTAATAAATGAATAAAATAAAAATAAACAATTACTATAATCAAACATTTAGAGAAGGCAAATTAATTAACCTCTTGCTTGCTTTTGGGACAGAACTGTGTGATGTCCCAGCTTGTGTTTACTGGAAGCTTATCCTCTGGGCACTGACACTTTCAGACCAAAATCCAGAGGGGGAAGGTGGAGCTCCTGGAACCAGCAAAGAACTGAACCAGCAAAGTTACTGATTAATTGCTGAACTGGGAGAGTGTCAGAATGTATAACAATAATCACCCATTCTCTTAGGTGACAAACTTACACAAGAAATAACCCCCATTCGGCATAGCAGGATTTATTCATGAGTGAATCCTCATTCACTTCCCTTTTCCAATTTCCAGCAAACACAAGTGCCCCAGACAGAGATTCCAGGACTGGAGGATGTTGCTTTGCTGTTCCTCGGCCCAGGAGCAACAAGAGCTGTCACCAAAGGTGGCTCCTCATTTCATTTCAAATACTTCATTTTGGTATTTTTGGGGATTCTAGAACACATTTTTAACCACTCTTGTGTTCTAACTTCTTGAAACCTGGGGCAGATCCTTCCCAATTGTGGAATCGACTTGCCAGAGATATTCACCAAATGCTGTCCTTACACATATTTTGGAGCCAGATCAAGATGCTTTTATTCAAGGAGTATTTTAATTATTGATGATTTTAGTTGGAATTTGATTTTAATTCTATTTTAATGATAATTTTAGTATTCTCAGTTGTGACATTTAAGATAGTTCCAATCTGTTGTTAAACTATTATTTGGTGTTCCTGCTATGAAGTTACATTATTTTATTATTGATGCTGTGGTTTTAATTGTGTTATTTATGTTTTATGTTGTTGGTTTTTATTACGTAGACCATCTAGAGAGCTATGTGGCTATGAGGCAGTATACAAAAGTGCTAAATAAATAAATCCATGTACACAAGATGTTGCAACATTAAGCTTCTAGCAGCCTCATTGCCTTAAAACTCTAAGTACAATAACAGGTAATTGAATACCTCATTTGTAAAGAAAAAAAAAGGTTGCATTGGATTTGGGCAGGTGGAGGGGGGCCTCTCAGGTAGAAAGATGTGGGGAAAGGGCAGCAGGAAGCGAAGTACATGTGGGCCAGAAGCAACTAATCTAGTGGGATCAGATAGAACACAGATCCTCAGGGCCCCAGTACATTTACTTCAGCAAATGCCCATGGACAGCAGAGACATTATTATTATTATTATTATTAGAACATTTCTATGCCGCCCCTTGCCGAAGCCTTGGGGCGGCTTACAAACACAATAAAATACAATAAAATACAAAAATAACAACATAAAATTAAAATTAACAATATAAAATAAATAAAAATATAAAATATAAAAGAAGTCTCCCTGGCCAGATAAATAAGCAAATATTGTTAACAATTAAAGTGACGTTTAAATAAAAAGGTCTTCACCTGGCCCCGAAAAACAAGTAACGACGATATGGGGCAGAGGGCCTCCCAGAGATTCAGGGCTCCAAATGAAAGATCTGGGACTCCAGCCCAAATGGGTTACATCCTAGCACCATCTCGGCCTCCAAGGTCTGAGACAAAAAGATCCTTTTAACTGGGGTCCAGCTGAGACATAATGTGTGCAACGCATTTGTGTTAATCAGCATTATGAACAAAGGTTTTAATTTGTACATGGTGGCAGATACCTACAACCAGCTGGCCATTGGTAGGAAGCTAACATATAGATAAGTCAAGCATCTGCTGTGAGCTTCACAATCATGGCAACCAGCTCCAAAAGTGTGGGAAATTCTGGTCTGGGTCCAGCCAGGGTGGCAAACTCAGTAATGTTTGGTATCACTGGATGCAGTTCTGTCGTGGAAGCTAAGTGGATTAGACCGTTATAAGCAGCCTAGAGGGGAGAGTATGTAGGAACCAATGTGTAAGGTACCTGAGGCAAAGGAAGGGTAGGATGGATGGATGGGCAAACAGAGGTATAACTTATAAACACTGGTCCATATGGCTAACATTTAACAGAAGTGATGCGATTGCCCAAAGGACATGTTCACATTAACATGATAATTTTTGACAACCCTTGGGAAAATATGAAAGGAGAATGGGATGGGATGGGATTTGCTTAGAGAGCCTTGGGCCAATAGTGTAGAATGTAAGTTTAATAATAATAATAATAATAATAATAATAATAATAATAATAGTAATAATAATATACAGGAAAACATAGCAGCAAAGAGATCTCATCTCCAGTATGTATTTGCTTACACAGCAAATCCTAGGACCAAGCAACAAAGCTAAACTTCATATTGCATTTACTCTAAAGTAGTTCTGTTAAAGCTGATGGAACTGCTCCAGGAGAAGCGTGGCTGTAGATTAGGGCTATCCAAGCTCTGTTCTGAAATTGGTTTGGGAGATATCATTAAGGCCTTAATTAATTGGATTTCATTCATGGTACCATTCTATAGAACAGCTATGCATTATCCATTTATGTTCATTCCTCCGCTGAAATGCCTGTTATCTTATAATTACTAATAATAGCATCAAATGGGTCTCTTCCCCCCTCCCTTAATGTTCTCAGAAGAAACCAAGCTAACAGAAATTACTCTGCATTATATTTTGGCTGCTGGAAGGATATTGGTAATAGTATTCTTTATTACTATCTGTCAAACCCAGTTGTGGCTCATTTTCTAGCATGGTTAATGTTGAGGCAGGAAAGGGTTGAAAGGTGATTCCAAGTTGTAACATGGACAAGCAGAGAAGGAGGAGAATTGTGCTCTTGAAGCAATTTTCTTTATCTGAAGGCAAAAAGGAGACACATTCTGAGAGGAGGGATTTGTACACTTTTCCTACAACAAGTTTACAGGTGCTGCCAATTTTTTTACAAAAGGTAGACACTTATCCTTGTGCATCTTCTACTTGAACAAAATGTGGGATTTTAGAAAAGGAAAAAGACTTTGCATGTGGTAACTTGGATAAACAACAGGAGTTATATATGGAAATAGGCTTCCACCTGCACATCTTGGCAGCTACATACCAGTGGAACTGCATATACGTGTGTGAGCTTTATTTGCAGTGCTGATCTCCAACCCTGGTGCCTTGCTGGAAAGACAAAGTAATCAGGCCTTGCATGGTGAACTGTTGCATGTTATTCCCAAAGAGGGCTTCCTCTGCTGCACATATGTTGTTGTTGTTAGTCGTGACCAACCCATCGCGACCCCATGGACAACATTCCTCCAGGCCTTCCTGTCCTCCACCATCTCCCGGAGTCCACTTAAGCTCACACCAACTGCTTCAGTGACTCCATCCAGCCACCTCATTCTCTGCCGTCCCCTTCTTCTTTTGCCCTCAATCGTTCCCAGCATCAGGGGCTTCTCCAGGGAGTCCTTCCTTCTCATTAGGTGGCCAAAGTATTTGAGTTTCATCTTCAGTATCTGGCCTTCTAAAGAGCAGTCTGCGTTGATCTCCTCTAGGACTGACCGGTTTGGTCTCCTTGCAGTCCAAGGGACTCGCAGGAGTCTCCTCCAGCACCACAATTCAAAGGTCTCAATTCTTCGGCGCTCAGCCTTCCTTATGGTCCAGCTTTCACAGCCATACATTGCAAAAGAGAAAACCATAGCCTTGACTATACACATTTTTGTTGGCAGAGTGATGTCTCTGCTTTTTAGTATGCTGTCTAGATTTGCCATAGCTTTCCTCCCCAGGAGCAAGCGTCTTTCAATTTCTTGGCTGCAGTCACTGTCTGTGGTGATCTTGGAGCCCAGGAAAATAAAATCTGTCACTACCTCCATTTCTTCCCCATCTATTTGCCAGAAAGTGAGAGGACCAGATGCCATGATCTTCATTTTCTTAATGTTGAGTTTCAAGCCAACTTTTGCGCTCTCTTCCTTCACCCGCATCAAGAGGCTCTTTAGTTCCTCTTCACTTTCTGCCATGAGAGTGGTATCATCTGCATATCTGAGGTTGTTGATATTTCTCCCAGCAATCTTAATTCCGACTGGTGATTCATCTAGCCCCACCTTTCTCACGATGTGCTCTGCATATAAGTTAAATAGGCAGGGCAACAGCATACAGCCTTGCTGAACTCCTTTCTTAATTTTGAACCAATCAGTAGTTCCGTGTCCAGTTCTCACTGTCGCTTCTTGACCCGCATATAGGTTTCACAAGAGACAAATAAGATGGTTGGGTATTCCCATGTCTTTAAGAACTTGTCACAATTTGTTATGATCCACACAATCAAAGGCTTTAGCATATTCAATAAAACAGAAGTAGATGTTTTTCTGGAACTCCCTAGCTTTCTCCATGATCCAGCGTATGTTGGCAATTTGATCTCTAGTTCCTCTGCCTCTTTGAAATCCTGCCTGTACTTCTGGTAGTTCTTGGTCCACATACTGCTGGAGCCTAGCTTGTAGGATTTTGAGCATAACTTTGCTAGCATGTGAAATGAGTGCAATGATGCGGTAGTTTGAACATTCTTTGGCATTGCCCTTCTTTGGGATCGGAATGTAAACTCACCTTTTCCAATCCTGTGGTCACTGTTGAGTTTTCCAAATTTGCTGGCACATTGAGTGTAGCGCTTTTACTGCATCGTCGTTTAGGATTTTGAATAGCTCAGCTGGAATACTGTCTCCTCCACTAGCTTTG